GCCCCACATCGGGCTCTGTGCTGACAGTGCGGAGCCTGCTTGGGATTCTCCCTCTCTCCCTCTTTCTCTGCTCCTCCCCTGCTCATTCATTCACTCTCTCTCTCTCTCTCTCTCAAAATAAGTAAATAAACAAAAAAATTTTAAATACAGGTAGGTACTCCCTCGCACCAATTAGAATGGCTATTTTCAAAAAAGCCCAGAAAGCAACAAATGCTGGAGTGGATGTGAAGAAATTGGAGCCTGGTGTGTTTTTGACAGGACAGTAAAATAGTATAGCCATGGTGGTGATTTTCAGAAAAAAACTTTACATAAAAATACCATATGATCCAGTAATTCCACTTCTGGGTATATACACAAAAGAAGTGAAAGCAGGAACTGAAAGAAATATGTGTACACCCATGTTCAAAGAGTATTGTTCACAATAGCCAAAATATGGAAACAACCCAAATGCCATCAATGAATTAAGACAAACACAGTAGAATGTCGTTTAGGCTTCTGACCATCCTGAGCAGCCTCTGTTCCCTGCCTGGCTGACTTTCCTGTAGTCACTGGCCTTTCCCCATGGATGGCACAAGGCAGGGAGTGGGGAGCTACACAGGGACACTTGACAATAGAGTCCTTAGAGGCCTCGGGAAGGAGCTGACAAGACAGAACAGGCACATGGTAGGGACCCTATAAGTGTCTGTTGGAACGGAGATAGAAGTGAAACTCCTTTTCCACCTTCGTAGCTAAAACCAACTTCATGTGTTAATTTCCTCTGTGTTGTCTTCGTGTCTCAATGTTGCCCCCTGGAGGCTATGCTGGGGGCTGCACCAGAGATGCTAACCAGGCTCCAAAGGATGTGTGGGCCCTGAGCCCTGGGCAGAGGTGGGCTCTGACCTCCAGGCTGAGGGGCTGGTCAGCCCAGGTCCTGGTCCCTGTGGGTCCCAGGCTTCCTGAGTCCATCCCAGTGCAGGGTAAACTCAGGGAGAGGACAGTTGTTGTCCAGAAGATTCCTGATCCAATGTCAGGAGAACCATCCATCCAAGGGGATATGTTGCCTCTGATGGTGGTCTCTGTTCCCAGAGTTCCAAAGGAAGGGCCAGTGAAGAGTCTCTTGGGGCTTTGGGGAGAATACACCTCAGAATTCCCTGTTTCCCCCATCACAGCACTGGGGCCTGTTGCGTTCAAGTCACCTATGTCCCTGTCTTTGCTCTAGGCTCCCCATAGGACCCAGGAGCTAGAGCAGCTCCACCTGGAGACTCATCCAGGGATTCTCGAGGGTTCCTCTGCTAGGGAAGAGGAGGCCTCTGTGTGAGCCTCAGCCCCTCTGAGATGGAAGCAAATTCAGATCCTAGGTTCTCCTGTCCCATCCTGCACGGCAAGTTCCTCTCACTTCTCAGGACTCCTTGGGGTGGTAAGATGTCTTCAGCAGACCATAGCCACATATCCCCACAGATCAGAGACCCTAGGGAGGAGGAGTCACCTCCTGACTTCCTTGAGTTCTGAGAGGGGCTCTGACTTCCCCTGGTGGTAACTCCACCTGAGGTCAGGTCTCTGAGAGAAGATGAGGACACAGGCTGCCCAGGATCTCCAGGGATAGGTGAAGTGGCTCACAAGGTAGAGATGGAGTGGGGGATGTCTGTTTTCTGTGAGTGAATGGTGTCAGATGCTCACTGTTAGGAGGTCTCTGTCGTCACTCCTGAATCTATGAGGAGTGAAGGCTTGTCCCTGGGACAGCCTCAGGTACTTGTTGGCCTCCTCCCATGAAGATACCAGTGCCCCTGTGTCTACAGGGGACAGGTTCTGACCCCCAGGTGTCATGTGGGGGTGACATGCTTTATGGTGTGGTTTCTCTTATCCATTTCACACATGTCTATTGATGCATGTCATCTGGCACAGATGGGGATGCCTGGATATCTGGCCTGGCTGCCATCTCATCCTCTAAGACACTATTGATGAAGTAGTGTCTATTCAGAGTAGCCACTGGGCATAAGGACAGGACTGCCCCATTTCTCACAAGGGACTTAGTCATGGATGGATTGCACCCTGGCTCTGCATACTGCTCTCCCGGCTGGTACCTTGACAAACCTTGTCTTCTGTCTTCCCATTGCCCCAGCACAGCCTCCAAAGCACAGGGATCTGGGCCCTCTCAGAGGCCCCCAGCCAATCAAACCCTGCATGTAACCTTCTTTGTGTTAGAGAGAAGGGCCCCGTTATAGCATCAAGCAGCCTCATGGGAAAACACTTCCGAGCCAAAGTGACCCCCATGTGCTGGGACTGGTGTGTCCCATCTGGCCACATCTTGGCGGGTCGTCATGGGATCAGGGCAGAACCAGTGTGAGCTATGCTCTGGAGCTCCAAGGAACTGCCAGTGAGAGCTGAGTGCTGGGTTCTCGTCTTCTGGGAGGGATTCAATTTCCAGAACTTCGCGATATCCTTGGACCCAGCCAGAGACCAGGAGCTCAGGGCTCTGGTGGTGGTTGGGATTTAGCCACAAGGAGGTGCCCAGCTCTGCCCCCATACGTGCCAACCAGTGGCCCGAGGCTGTGCAGGGATAGTCCGGCCCATCTCCCGCCTGCAGAGTGTGGAGGTGGACAGGTGAATGCTGAGGACACCAAAAGGAACTCACCCCTTAATGATGGAGCATCAGAGACTCTTGTGGTTCAGAGAGGGGCACAGGGTTAGAGGGCAAGGTGTCAGCCCACAGGTGCTGAGAATGAAACCCCAACACCAGCCAGTCCCCAACTAAGTCCATTTTGGGGGGTGTAAATTCATCCTTAAGGAGTGATGCCAAGCTGTATGATTCTGAGAGAAGCTCCTATGATATAATTTTCTTCTTAATATTTCTTCCAAATCCATAGTATGACTTTGCATTCATGGCTAAGATGCCTCTCAGGATGCTGAGAACATCAGAGGACGTGTCTAATGACACCACATATCAATTTGCGGTCATGTATGTTTTTGCATCCCAGTGTCTACAGAATTTCCCTCAGCCAACCTGGCAATATAACCCAGTGGTGTCCTGATTTGTGGTTACACCCTTGGCAAAAACCAGTCTTCCAGCTGCTGAGCCACGGGCAGCCATAAGTTCTTCCCCTCTAAATATGCCTCCTTCTGAACCTGAATGTGCCCTTTGTCCAAGCTGAGCCCTCCTGTCTCCTGTCCAGGGCCCTGTTTTCTCTCCCAGCAGCAGGAACCATCCACTAGAGGGCACTCACGCGCCTGCCTGAACTCCTGCTGACCATTTCCATCTCCTGACCAATGCAAGTGTTTACATTGCCACAACGCCCAACCCTCAAATACTCTTTAGATTTGTTCACAGTGTGGCTCAGTCAGTTAAGCATCCGACTCTTGGTTTCGGCTCACGGTTCGTGGGTTCAAGCCCCCAGTTTGGGCTTTGTGCTGACAGTGTGGAGCCTGCTTGGGATTCTCTCTCTGTCTCTTCCCCTTCCCCTCTCTAAATAAATAAATAAATAAATAAATAAATAAATAAATAAATAAATTTTAAAAGCCCACTAAGATTAACAAATTGTGTTGTTTTAAGCCACTAAGTTTGTGGTAATTTGTTACAGCTACAGTAGGAACTTAATCCCCTAGGAAGACTGGTTAGAATTGGTCACGTCCATGTAAGAAATGACAATGTGGACTCACGGTCAGTGTGGACAAGAAGGTGGTAGAGAAATAGGAGGAACACTGGGGCAGGTGGGGGGGGCCTATGGAGGCTTTGCTAACAGGTTCCACAAAGCACAGGGAGGAGCAGAAGAATTCAATAGTGACTCTCGTGATTCTTGCTTCAGCAGCCAGGTGTAGGGAAACACCTTTAATAGAAGAAGGAGATGTGTGCAGGCTGAGCCTGTGTGAAGACCAGAAGTGAACGTTTGAATTACATGTGCAGTTAAGGTGGCCAAGAGGGGCCGGGGAGCACTGGTTCAGCTGGATCGCAGCTTCTGTGAGAGGCCAGAGGGGAGTGGGAGGAGAGGATCAGTCCGTCCAGCAGGACACGATCCGCACGGTGTTCTCCTGGGCTGGGAGGTCTCCAGACTAGGTGGGGATGGAGTTGAGTGGGCAGTGGGACAGCGAGGTCCCACCTGCAACAGCCCCTTCCTGAGCCACAGCCTGGGACGCTGTTTCCTGGCCGCCCTGCTGGTGGCCAGCACGGTGCTATCCATTGAAGCTAAGGAGTCAGAGTCACCAGTCAGGTCACTATTAACCACTTGCATCCTTCCCTCGTCTTTGTTTCCTGTGTTCAACTGATATTTCTTGCATGTCTCTACTTTATGGGTCTGAGTAGAATAAAATAATCCAAACTACATTTTCTCCTGATTATCTTTTGTTTCCAATTCCTCATGCTTGAATATACTAAAAAACAAACAAAAACACAAATAAAAATCCACCATCAGCAGGGTACTGGCAGAAGCAAACACACCATTACTCAAAAGCCTAATCCTCCCTTCTCCCCTCAGACACCAGGTGTCCTCACACGACCACGAATAAGAACATAGATGTTGACATATGTCCGGGGTGATCTGTGAGAGCCTGGGAGTGTGCACCTGCCAGCACGCAGGTTCTGTCTCACGGTGTCCATGGTAGCTCATCCTCAGAGACCCGTGACCAACCATGTTCTAGGAACCTTCAGGGTCCCCATGGGGGTCCTGTGCTGACAGAAAGGGAAAGGGAACAGGCCAATGCTGGGGCATAAGGAACATCCTCGGGTATCTCTGGTGACCAGCAAACCAGAAAACTCATTGGGTCCAGATCCAACACATGGACCTACAGGTACCCACCTGAGTCTCTGACTCCAAGTGTAAGACGTTCTATCAGATAATATGGAATTTACTCTGGGTTTCTGGGGACCGCACTGGCTTGGGTCACACGGAAGTATCATCTGGAGAAAAGAGTCACATTGGAAGTGAACTGTCAGCTGCCTTCTTTCTGACGATGACACTCAGCTTGTCTCACCTGAAACAAAGTTTATTTTTTTTTTATTTTGTTTTAATGTTTATTTATTTTTGAGACAGAGAGAGACAGAGCATGAACGGGGGAGGGGCAGAGAGAGAGGGAGACACAGAATCGGAAACAGGCTCCAGGTTCCGAGCCATCAGCCCAGAGCCTGACGCGGGGCTCGAACTCACGGGCCGCGAGATCGTGACCTGGCTGAAGTCGGACGCTCAACCGACTGCGCCACCCAGGCGCCCCACAAAGTTTTTTTTTAAACGCCAAAACCCCCACAGAACTCCCTATGAGTCTTTACCCAGCTCAAGGAAGAAGAGAAGCAGCACCTCACACACCATGGATGCTGTCACCAGTCCCCCTGCCTGCCCAACCCACCCCCCGCCATATTCTGCAAAATATTCCCCTACCCTTACACGTCTTCTTTTTCAACAACATGCTGTAACCTTAAAAACCATACATTTCATATTGAGCGTTGTTGACCTTCACAAAAATGAAATTACACTGAATTTCATGCCACTTGCTTTGTTCAGGAAAAATTCCCAGGATTCACTCCCACAGGTGTGCCTGGATGGCAATGGTCTCTGCATCTCCCATCGTAAGAACTTATCACATTTTCTTTCACTGAAAGAAATGTGGTAACTGGTGAACATTTGGGATGTTTTGCTTTTGCTCATATGTTATACAAACACTGCCACTATGAATGTTCCTCCCCGTTCACGTCTGCTACGACACCACACAACTTCTATGGGTGACATCTACAAGCTTTTCTATTGGTTTGTTTTTCTTTATTGCAAGGATCTTTATATATTGTGGTGGCATGCTTTGCCAACTATGTGTGCTGCACATCTCTTTCGTATAGTATCCTTTCTAAAGAGACATTAAGTGTAATATAGAACTCATATTTTTACCATTACATTGGTGTCCCTCTACCTAATTTAGAATAATTTCCCAAGGCTGTGTGTGTGTGTGTGTGTGTGTGTGTGTGTGTGATCAATTTTTCAGACTCATTTATAAAAACTGCCTTCTTTCCCCCACTTTATCTGTCAGGCCACCTCCCTTATGAAGTGTCGATGTGTGAGTAGGATGGTGGCCGACGCCACATTCAGGTCCCCAGTGGAGCCACAGCACCAGTTTTCTATCTTGTGGCTCAGTGATCCATCTTGGTATCTATCTAGTAGGGTCGTTGCCACCTTGTTACACTTCTTCGGGGCCCTTTGTTAAGCTCTTTAATTTTAGAATTCCCTTGTCCAGTGGAAAGAAAACAATGACAGTTTTTATTGGGAAGCTCGTAATTGTCCAGATAATTTGGGGAGAACAGCCGTTCCACCAAGCGGAGTCTTCCCGATCCTGACATTCCCTGGTATCTCTTTCCTTTCTGTTGGTGATTTGTCCTCTGTTAGTTATTGCCACTTAACAGCAAACTTTCATGTTCAGTCAAGTTTTAGGTGGTAAATAAACAAAGGCCTTGCTTACAAAGCTCTTTGTTTATTCTCCAGTTGCTGCTATAAATATTATTTAAATGACACTTGCTCTTATAAAGCAATGTCATTCAGCCTCGCATATGAATCTCCTATCAGGCATTCTTGGGAAACTACTGTACTGATTCTGAGAACTTCTCAGACGTGAATTATGACATCGTTTCTGCACTTTTCCTTCTCAGACCTTTTCTTTTATGTGTCTGGCTCGGCGCGCTCAAGGACCCCATGCGCACCCTTACAAGTCAGTGTTGGCAGCCCACCCGAGCCTGGCCGCCTGACCTTAAAATTACGTTTGCTCTACCATTTTGTACACACGCTTTATCAGTTTCAGAAAGTTTCATTTTATTTCTGTTGACGGGTTTCTGTCATCAAATGTAGCTGAATCTTACATACAGTTTTTTTTAACATATCTTTCAAAAAGTCACATAATTTTCCTTCTTTCAACCATTAAAGCTGTGAATTACACTGATCTTCTGTTAACCTAACTGCATTCCTGGACTAAACCTCACATTCACGCACGTGATCTTTTCCCTTCACTGCTGGACTGTGGTTCCTATTTCTGTAGGAGGTTTGTGTATGCTGCTCTTGGCCTGTAATTTTTCCTTTCCGTATTTTTTTCTGGTTTGAGGGTCAAGGTTATTCTAGTCTCACGGTAAGAGCTGGGAATGTGTTCGCTCTTTCTCTCAAGAGTATGCGTAAGGTTAGAATAAGGTCACGAATGTGTAAAATCTCCCCATTGAAATGACGGAAATTTCAAAATGGTAACTCAAGTGGTGCCTGAGGGGCTCAGTCAGTTGAGCGTCTGACTCTTGGTCTCAGCTCAGGTCATGATCTGGCACTTTGTGCGTTGTAGCCCAGCACCGGCTCTGACGCTGACGGTGAGGAGCCTGCTTGGGATTCGGCCCCTCCTTTTCTCGGCCCCTGCCCTGCTTGGGCATGCGCTCTCTCTTTCTCTCTCAAAACAAATAAATAAACATAAGAAAATAGTAACTCAAGTTCGTATTAGGTTGGTTATTAGGACTCCTATCATGCTTTTCTTCTGGTTATTTTTTATTCTTTGCTCCTTTTTTCTGCTTTTAAGCATCTTAACATTTAAAATTTCCCCACAAGCTCCCCTGGGTTGCATCCTGTGTGTTCTCTGTAAAGTATTTTTCTGTCAGTTATACATATTGTGACACTGCCATTGTAGTTTCTCATTAGGCAGGAGTTTTACAAACACATGGTTTCCATTCAGGGAGTTGTTTTCAGCTTATACTTTTCATTCTGTTCTCTGACTACCGACCACAGGGTTTATAGAGCCTTCCATGTCTGTGCATTGATGAAAATTTGCAGTCTTGTCCCCGTATGTGGCAAATATTCATACAGTTGCCATTTGTGCTTGAAAAAAATTTTTACCACATTTTGTATATACATACACCAAGCTTCTTACATTGCTCCAATATTCTCTATCCTTCCTGCTAGATGAGCTTCCCATCGAGCTTGCCCTCTCATTTCTGAGAGGCATATGCTCATGTCTTCTACCAAAAGAGTGGATTCCAGGTGGCTTTTTAAAGACAGGGAAGAGGGGCGCCTGGGTAGCTGAGTCGGTTGAGCGTCCGACTTTGGCTCAGGTCATGATCTCACAGCTTGCCAGCCTGAGCCCCGCGTCGGGCACTGTGCTGACAACTCAGAGCCTGGAGCCTGCTTTGGATTCTGTGTCTCCCTCTCTCTCTGCCCCTAAACAACTCCCATTCTGTCTCCGTCTCTCTCAAAAATAAATAAACATTAAAAAAAATTTAAAGACAGGGAAGAAAGAAAGAAAAAAAGAAAGAAAAAGAAAGACAAGAATTGACCTCATACATGTCTCCCAAAAAGCCTGCAAAAATTGTATTGGGAATGAAACCCATCAAGAGTTACCAAATTACTTTTTCCTACAACAGCATGTGAATACAGGTCTGCTTTCTTCCTCTGCTGAGACCCTGCCCAGCAGATGAAATGAAGGAGATTCCTAGAACAACAGTGAGGTACGTAAAAAAAGACTTCAGAGGCTTTTCAAAGCCTGCTGCAAAAAATACTTAGCTTATGACCCATTTCTGTAAAATAAGAACATGAAACTATGTTACGGACTATTGATGAATACAAACATATATAAAAAGGATGGGTGAAATCGCTGTAAAAAGTCTCCTACATAGGATGAGACCCTCACCCACCAGCAAGTCGTTACCTCTGGCAAAGGAGGACAGCAAGGGAGAAGGCGCTGGTGTCCGATACGATGCAGCCTGTTGCCTTTTGTTTGGCAAAGGAGACCGGAGGCCAAATTCTAAAACGTTCACATCTGTTAAATCTTGGAGGAAACCGAACGGCTCACTGCACTATTTCGTCTACGTTTACTAGCTGGCATTCCACTGGAGACTTCAGCTTTCTTTGTCACTGTTTCTTTGTTGAAATCTAGAAAGCCTTGTTGATTTAAATACCTGACAATCTGGGGCGCCTGGACGGCTCTGTAGGTGAGTGTCCGACTTGAGCTGAGGTCAGGATCTCACTGTTTGTGAGTTTCAGCTCCACATTGCGCTCTCTGCTATAAGCCCAGAGCCCACCCCACATCCTCTGCCGGCCCTCCCTGGCTCACTCTCTCTCGCTCTCTCTCTGTCTCTCTCTCTCTCTCTCTCAAAAGTAAATAAACATTGAAAAAAATATCTCGCAACAGAACCCAACAGTCTGGGTTTCTGTTTTAGAGATCGACGGAAGGCTAAATCTAAATCTAATGTTTACATTAGCCTGAAATGTTTTCATCTGTGTCAACGTGGCCCTCCCAGTTGAAGATCAGAAAAACAGCCACGCATCCACCACGTTCGGTGATCAACACTTACCTACAACCCTGATCGACAGTTACCTACGCCTTCTCCTTGCTTTGAAACTAAAAAAAGTGTTCTCCTCTGGTTGATTGCCCTCACAACCTTGAAGTGTCTAGATGGGACTCTCTATGTTGAACGAGTTCTAGACAGCTCCAGAGCAGAGAGACAGGGCTTCCTCCTCTCCAGACCTCAGAACACGAAAGCACAAACAACACTCCAAACCCCATCCATGATCAATCTGCATCACTGTGATGGAATCCATTGCTGTTCTGCTCCACCTTGGGTGAGCAGTGTCGTGAACCTTGAACACGACAGAACCTTGCCTTCTAGGGGGGGTTACAGGGACCACAAAGGACATGTTTTTCAAACCTCCCACTAAGAGCAGACCGGCCAACCGGTTGAATTTTGTCCTCTTCACACAAAAAACCCCAAATCCTGCCTTTCCATCAGTGTAACCATGGTCACCAAAACCCCCTTGTAAAAAAATCCCTTGAATTTTGTCCTCTTCACACAAAGAACCCCAAATCCTGCCTTTCCATCAGTGTAACCATGGTCACCAAAACCCCCTTGTAAAAAAATCCCCTTGTTTTTTGTTTTTTGCCTCTGCCAAATGGCTGCTGGCACACGTGGGACAAGCTCATTGGCTCCTGCCTGTGTGTAGGGGCGGGGCGTCAGAGAGTGACTGGTTCCAGAAAGTATAAAAGGCTGGCTCTCTAAGCTCTCTTCGGTCTTTTGGCCCGAAGCAAACGAGTGCAAACCTCCTATGCCCTCTACCAACTCAAACATGTTCAATATCA